AGCCAAAATGGAATTTGAAGGGCAAATAACTAAAAGTATAAAAACAAACAAGAGATTTTTTAAAATATATGAGAAACAGTAAGCCTGCCAAAGAATGAGTGAGTCTGCTGGATCACTAAGGAGGGGAGGGAGCAATTAAACAAAATAAGGACATAGCTTAGATATTCAATGAATTATCTGAATTGTTTGAATTCTTTTTTACTACCATGGATTTTTTGGGTATTCCAAGTAGCAAAATACTTGGAAGATCATGTCTCACTAATCACTAAGTCCTGTCTATACTAGGGAGTTATTTTGAAATAACATCCCTTATTCCGAAATAATAAGCAGAGCGTCCACACTCCCAAGCCCGCTATTTTGAAATAACGGGCTGGTTATTTTGAAATCTGTACTCCTGCTTTCCTCGTGGAATAACGTTTATTTCGAAATAGTGATTTTGAAATAGCATTAGTGTGGACGCTCCGCTGCTGCTATTTCAAAATAACTACTCCCCAAAGTAATTTGAAATAATTATTCCCCAGTGCTTCCTGGGGCTCTAAGTTGAGGTAGCACATCCACAATAACAGAGCGTATCTCGGGCTTATTTTGAGGCTCGCTGTAGTGGACACACACTATTTTGATTTTGGTTTTTTTGGGGAGTTGTTATTCCAAATTTAATTATTTTGAAATAATTTCCTAGTGTAGACATGCCCTTAGACTTCTTTGAACATGTTAGCAAAGTAGTGGATAAAGAAGAACCAGTGGACATAAAATATTAAGACAAGGTCCGGCACTAGTAGCTACTAAAAAGCTAAGTAATCAATTCTTGAAAAGGAAAGTATTGCCTTGGATCCAAAAAGAGCCTAGGAACAAGTTTTTTGGGAGCATAAGGAATGAGACATAAGGAATGAGGAATATTATAATGGCTTTATATAAATCAATAATGTTACCTCTTCTGGAAGAGTGTATGTAGTACTGGTCACCTGATCTCAAAAAGGTTATTTGCTGAATTGGAAGGGGATTCAAGGAAAAAGCAACCAGAAAGATCAAAGAAAGCTCTTTCATGAAGAGAGATTGAAAAGACTGGAATTGTTTACCTTGGAACGGAGACATGATAAAAGTGTATAAAATAAAGCATGGTCTAGAGCAGTGTTTCTCAAGATGGTCCATGAAACCACTCTGAGAAACCTGCTAACAGGCCGCTCTGGTTTGTTTATTTACCAGCACCACGGCCAGGGAGCCACACGGATCTCATTGGCTCTCGTTCATCATTTGCAGCCAAGGGGAGCCACGGGCAGCGGTGGCTCAGCCCAAGCCACTTCCCGCAGCTCCCCTTGGCTGTAAATGGCAAACTGAAGCCAATGGGAGCTGCAAGGCTCTGTGGCCACAGCACCAGTAAATACAAAGCGATTCTCCGATTTTGTGGACCACTTTGAGAAACGCTGGTCTAGAGAAGGCAGATACGGAGCTTCTGTTCTGCCCACCTCAGAATGCCGGAACATTCCATTCAATTAAAAGGTGACATTCAAAACGGATAAAAGGAAATTCTTTCAACTGTAATTAGACTCACTGCCAGAGAAAATCAATGATTGTGAGAACTTAACAAGACTGAAAAAGGCACTGGACACTCATGTGGGTACCGAAACTATTCAGTGCTGTAATAGTTAATACTGACAAAAATTGTGAAAGGGATGTTAAGCCTCATGTTTCAGGACTTAAGACAATCTCTGACTATTAGCGATCAGTATAAGACCTAATGTGGGTAGGGAGATCATCCCACAACTGCCCATGGCAGGGTTCTTACACCTGCCTTTCAAGGTTCTGGTGCTAGCCACAGTCAGAGACAGGATACCGGATTAGACAGACCTTCGATCTGAGCCAGTCTGGCAAATCCCACGTTCCCAGAGACCATAAATATTCAGCAGCACTGAAGTGTGGAGGTCAGTAGTAGCTAAGCAGACATCTGGTACAGCATGCAATTCATAACTGTAGGGTAATGAGAAATTTGGCCAAGGACATCAGGTTAAACCTTTATCTTTATGAAAAGTGTCCTTATCTATCTTGGCCGTGTAAGAATTTGTTTTCTAAGCTTCTTATCTGAAAGACTCCACACAGGAAATTACACAGAATTGAATATATCTGCCCCAGCAGGACGAAAGTTTGTGACTCAGCCAGGATTTCTGAGGAAAGCTAAAAACTGGAAGTTTCAGAGAGCACGTGATCTGAGCATGAGTTATGAAGAGCTCTCGTCTTGTCTTTAACAATGACATCCACTACCACTACCCCTCTTTGCCTCAGTTTTCCTGGCTGTAAAATGAAATATTCCATTGTGAGGATTGGTTAGAACGGACTTGCAATAGCATTTTGAAGATGAAAAGGGTTACTCAAATCTGCTGCTCAGATCATGAAGCCATTCCCTCTAGCATGCTCAGACTATATGCACACATTAAGCTGTCCTACAGTGTCAGATTCTAATCGTAGGGTTCCACTTTTATTTGCCTGAATGTCGGAAAAGTATTTGCTGGATTTTTTTTAACTAATGGGCCTCAGCTCTTTGATAATTCAAATGCAGTAGTTCTTTGAATTAGAGAACAGATACTGAGAATGTACAGGAGTTGTTTATAAGACAAAGGGCACCCTGAGTAACAGCGATAAAAAGTTCAGATAAACACTGTAAATTCTGCAGAAGACTTTAACGGTACAAGTTAAATGCACATCTGTAGCAAATATTTTCTTTATTCAAGACTTGGATTGGACTCGTCACAAATTACTTCCAATTAAAAATAATCCTGAAACAATTTGCAATAAAGTAATTATGGGGGGGGGGATCTCTGAACATTTTCCTTTGGAAATGGTTTAGATGCCTCCCACTATACACAATCTGTTATCATGAAAAAGGGTGCAACATTTGGTAGAAGAAGCAAAGGAATAGCAACTTTTCAAGCCCTTTGAAAGATGCAGTTGACTGAACTCATTAGCATTTCCCTGGTGAATATTTATAGAATCCATCCACTTATTACATGTTGATTTCACTTTCCTTTCAGAAAAGAACCTCAGTGAGAGAAGAAAGAAATGGGTCTGGTACACACACAAAAAAGTTTTGGAAAATCTTCGCTGGTGAAAGAAGGAAGAAAGACTTCCTTCTTTCTTCACTGCTTGAAAGGAAATAAAGGGTAGTTTTATTCAAAATTATAATTAGCAGAAGAGGGAATCAGTACAGATATCCGAGATTTTTAGTGGATTGTCTCTGCCGCAGATCTCTGACACTCTGAAGGAACTTTTAGATGCCCTTCTAGAAATCATGGGACTGACTCAGACTATAGAAGAGATAAAGGTAAGAAAGATCCATGCATAGATAGGTTCCCAGCTGAATTTTACAGAGTTCTCTTAAACTTGGGGGCTACATCTACACTGGCATGAATTTCCGAAAATGCTTTTAATGGAAAAGTTTTCTGTTAAAAGCATTTTCAGAAAAGCACGTCTAGATTGGCAGGATGCTTTTCCACAAAAGCACTTTTTGCGGAAAAGCATCCGTGGCCAATCTAGACATGGTTTTCCGCAAAAAAGCCCCAATCGCCTTTTTCACGATCGGGTCTTTTTTGCGGAAAACAGAACTATGCTGTCTACACTGGCCCTTTTGCGCAAAAGTCTTTCGGAAAAAGACTTTTGCCCAAACGGGAGCAGCATAGTTTTTCCGGAAAAGCACTGATGATTTTACATAAGATCGTCAGTGCTTTTCTGGAAATTCAAGTGGCCAGTGTAGACAGCTGGCAAGTTTTTCTGGAAAAGCAGATGATTTTCCAGAAAAACTTGCCAGTCTAGACACAGCCATGGTGTGCAAGCAGTTCTGAAGCAGTGACCATTATAGTGGCTACTGTTATAGCAAACTAGCCACATTATTCTGAAAATGTAAATAATTTTCTGAGATTCTCCAAACATACCAATTCTTGTCTTTTAATTTTAACGGAACTCTTCAACATTGCTTTTAATCAACAAAAGTCATCACATTTCGCAGAAATTCAGTCAATGGGACACTTCACAATTTTGTTTCACTTCTAACCCTCTGAAATCAGGCAAAAACGTTTCACTGAGACCACAACTCAACTCAGCCTCCATTTTTTCATCCAGTACCCATGACCAATATTTTGACTAGATGTACATTATGATAGAACATGATGATTCACAAAGCCATGTTGAACCAAACTTGGAAAAAAGTGTGGTAACTGCAGTTTTCAAAATAGCAAACTGATTCTGTTGCAAAAGTGCATCCCACATTGTCAAAAACAATTCACTTTTTGACTGATCGACTTGGCTTTGAAGTGTGAGCAAATCTTTTTCAAACAAACATTTGTTCAGGCCAAGCAAACTGACAAGGACTTGAGAATTAGCAGTGTCAAACTGAAATGGAACCTAACCAATTGAGTTATAAGATCAAGAACACATATTCCTCCTCATCCAGAAATATAATTTATGCTATCATGTGCCAAAAGTGTCCATCTGCTATGTACATTGGACAAGCGTCTCAGACACTTCACCAAAGAATCAATGCCCACAAAACCGATATTAGACAGGATCACAAAGAAAAAACAGTTTCTTGCCACTTCAACCAGAAAGGGCATTGTCACAATTACTTGATTACCTGCATCCTGCTTCAAAGACCTTTTAACACCAGACTTAAAAGAGAATCCTTTGAACTGTCATTCATGCTTAAATTCGACACTTTACGCCTAGGTCTAAACAAAGACATCAATTATCTTACCCATTACAAAGACAGCTTCCCCAATTATCACCTCTAATATCATTAGCTCACAGATATTTACCTGCCCCCCTCATCCCTCTTCTGTTCTGAAATTTGATTTGTCCTTTTCATATGTGTTCATTTTTTTTATTGTATCCTTTGGTATATATGGTTGTGACAATTTTCTTCCACTATTTGATCTGAGGAATTGGGTCTGGCCCACAAAAGCTCATCACCTAAGAAACCATCTTGTTAGTCTTTAAAGTGCTACATAGCCCTGTCTTTTGTTTCAGCTACACCAGACTAACACTGCTACATTTCTATCACTAAACTGAAATGGGTTTTTCATGAATTGAAATGCCAAGATGAAGCTCTCAAAAGCTGCAAAAGGCTGACGGAATTTCATTGCCATCTCAAATCATGTGGACAATCAAGTTCATCACACTCAAATTCACTATGTCCAGTAATTTTCTGCACATTTGGGACATGAGTGAATTCTCCTGTCTTCGTTTGAGCTGTAGCTTAGAAGTGAACTCCTGAAAGTGCTGGGCCACATCGCAAATCAGCTTCCCCTTTCCCTGAAGTTTCAGATTGAGTTAACATAAATGACAGGTGAGATCAGTCAGGAACCGCAAATCAAATTGCCCCCACTTATCTTCAATGGCACAAAAACTGTCCAGCTTTCCTTTCTTGACAAGAAAGTCTCTGACTGGAGTAAGCAGTGCAAGGAACTGCTCAAGCACCTTTCCACAACTTAGCCATCACACATTGGCAAAATAGACGATTTCAGAATGCTCACGTTCAATTTCTTTCAAAAATTCCACAAATTGGCGATGATTCAGAGCACAGTCTCCATTAAGTCTTTCAGAGTATCTGTTGTGGATATCTAGGCACACAGATTTTCTTGATGCAAAATACAGTGGCAGGAAAAGCAATTTGCTGTTCATTTTATTAGATTGCAGGTGCTCTTTCAGAAGAGAGACAAATCCAGAATTTTTTCCTCATCATAGCTGGTGCACCATCAGTTTTAACAGAAGCCAATTTTGCTAAATCCAAGTTGAAATCACTTGAGACACTTTTGAAAGTATTGAATATTATCAGATCCATGGGTACAATCTCTCAACCCACATACAGATAGCAGTTCTTCACGAATCTGGAAATCTTCTGTTCCAAAACAAATCCAGAAAAATTTAGCTGAGCAGTGTCACTGATGTCACATGACACATCCAGTGCCACCAAGGAGGCCAAACACTGATCAATTTCAGCACGCAACTGGGTTTTGAGATCAATAGACAAATCTTTCGACCAACGTACAACTGTTCGGTGACTCGGCTGCAAATTTTGAATGCTCTGCAAAATGTTATTTCACATCTGTGCATTATGATTTTCCAGTAAGGTTTCCATGACAGAGAAAATAATTTCCCTCACCATATCTCCATCTGAGAATGGCTTCTTGCAGCGAACAAATATCCACACTGCTTTCTAGCTGGCCAAAACTGCCAGTTCAGATGAAGATAGAAACTGCTTCAAAACCTTCTGCTGCTTTTCAAAATCCAATTTCAGCTGACCAATTTTATCAGTTCACTTTTTGCTTTCAATAGGATACACTGGATCAAAAACACTGTGCTGCCCTTAGAAATGCCTTCTTACATTGTCAGTCTTATTTGCAAGAATTATTGTATGACATAGCAGACACGTTGGCTTTTCATTCACCTCAATAATGGCATATTCCAGTTCCAATTTCTCTTGAAATTTACGTTTGATGTCCTTCCAATCTCTCTCTTTCTTTGCTGCAGTTTCTGCTGATGATTTGTTGTTTTCAGCGTTGTTTGACTTGTTACTAATGCTTTCTCATAACGGATGCAATTCTAGAAAAAATAATATTGTTCAGTTTCAACACAAAGCAAAAATAAGCAATATTGGTGGGGAGGTCAAAAAAGTACCCTTGTTAAAATTCAATATACTTAAAAAATTTTTTGAATACAACAATTTTTTAGTTTTTATTATTGAAGCCAACTAGCCACACTCAAGCGGCCAAATAGCCACATGTAGCAAGTGTGTTGGACACCATAGTCTGAAACTTTAGCATTTAGATTCTTAAATATGTCCACTGATGTTGAATAAGTTCAAGAAGGAGCTAGCACTCAGGCTTGCTTTGAGAAGCTACAATTTCAGTTGTACCTAAATGTTGGAAAGACCTTGGACTATGTAGTAATTAAAAAGCTTTTTCTTGAATCAGTTGTGATGCTAGGATTTTAGCTGAAGTTCTTGCTCTGTGACTGGACAAAGTTCTAGCACACAATGTACACATTATCTAAGTAAGCTTCCTTCATCATAGACATGGCTCAGATTGACATGATTGTTGCTTCAAGAGATTCTAAAGAACTCTTAGCTATTATTTCTTTAGATTCTGGAAAGGCCTTTGATTGTATAGCCTGGGACTTTTTCATGTGTTAGCAAAATTTAGATTCAGTAAACAATGTATTGCTTGGATTAAGCTTTTATACTCACCTGACTTCCTGGATAGTTATCCCATTTCCATTAGAGAGAGGTATAAGGCAGGGCTGCCCTCTTTCTCCTCTTCTATTTGATTGACTTCTAGAACCTTCAGTCATTGCCATCTGAGCAAATCAACAAATTCATGGTATCAGGGTGGGACAAACAGAACACAAAATTATACTCTACGGGTGCGTCTATATAGCACCCTTACCTTGAAATAAGCCACGCAATTTGTGCTACACAAATTGCATATCTTATTTCGAGTGTATTTCAAAATAGCTTAATTCATAATTTGGTGCTGTCTACACAGCACCAAATATCAAAATAACTTTCTATTCTGAAATACCCCTTAACCATTGTGGAACAAGGTCAAAATCGAGTTCAAAATAATGGGCTGCTTCAAATAGACATGGAATAGCTATTTCAGGATACTTCTGGTATCCCGAAGTAGCTCTGCAGTGTAGACGTACCCCTATTTAGACAATGCCCTTACATTAGAACTAAGCCTGAGGTTATCACTCCTAACTTCTAACCTCTATTAGTAAGTTTGGATTTCTCTCAGGGTGTACAATTAATTGGGGTTGCTGCACTGTCTGGAGCAGCTCACAAGTAGGAGTGCATTTGTCAGGGCAAACTGTTATAAAACACGGCAGACACCCCAAACTGGTGGTATGTTCTGTAATTAGATTTAATCAACTCACTAACAAATAACACTTCCGGATCAATATAAGTCTGTCCATGGAGTCACAGACAGTCCCCTCAGACTCTCCAGTCTATCTTGCCTCCCAGGCAAGCTGTTCTTTAGTGATAGCTGGTCACCTGTACTGAAGATCACAAAATATTGAGGTTTATGTCCATTTCCCAGGGATCAATCACATGCCTCAGATCAATTGTATCTCATCTCCTACACCAGTGCTGAAATAAAACTAACAGAAGGTTTATTAACTAGGAAACAGAGAGAGCTATTCACAGGTTAAAGCAAGTAAGCATGTGCCCACAAATGAATTACCATCTATGGATCCTAAATATGACAAAGATGTAGCAATCTGTTAAATCAAAATGCTTTTCAGACTGGGCCAAGGAGTAATCCTTGGTGATCTTTGTCCTAGTTTAGTGTCTCTGGCCCAGCAAGAATTTAAACAGCAAAAGGGCGAAAAATGTTCTTGTGACCAGTGTTTTATTTTTTACATTTGGCCTTCCAGTCCAAGAGACAAGCTCCCTTACATGCAGCATTTCCAAGGTCTGATAGAGCTATCCACCCATCCTTTGTATGGCCCTGTTAATCCTGATAGGCTTCTTGAATGGATGGGGGAAGAGCAGATTCCCATGCCTGGGTTCATAACTTGAGAGCAAACATTTTTCAAAGCTATAAAGTAAAACTTACATATTTCCTTATACCATGGAATTGAGACATTATAAATTACATTAATGCATACAGCAACTTACAAGCATTTTACAGAGTGTAATCACAGAATCCATTCTTATCAGACTAATACTCATTTTGGACAAAATGAACATGCAAGCTAGCTGGTTTAGTTTCCAGCTATGAGTTTGTCAGTGCTCAGGTGACATCTGCAGACTTGACAAGAGCTGGCATCTGGTTTAGCAACAGAGGAGTAAATAAGAAATCTTAGGCATTAACAAATATGCCTACCGAAGCCTTTTCTCAAATTAGGGCTTTCAATGGCAATCCCTTTATATGAAATAATTAGGAATACTGATTCTCAGAAATATTCAGAACAACCCAAAGGTAAACATGGATCCAATTACTGCCTAAGGGTATGTCTACACTCCCCCGCTAGTTCGAACTAGCGGGGTAGTGTAGACATACCCCAAGTGAATAATGATTTGGAGAAATAGAGCTCATTAACCCTCAGTTTGTGGGGTAAAATAATATACTGAATTTTATTTGTCCAGAATGTTTTATGACCTGAGGCATCTCCCATTTTTTTCTATTTCTCCAACTTATTGTAAGAAATCCAATAATATTTTCAGAATATTCCTTTGGAGAGCTGGTAGGAAACCTACACAGGCTCTGAACAAATTACAGCTTCCCCTGTTTCTGGAAGGATTTCATTTTCCCAGCTTGAAAAATTATCATATCTTCTATTTGTTAAGTCAGGCATCCTTGGAAATAGGAAATAGTCTGTTTCCTGGATGTACTGATTCCCACAAAGGCTATTGATGATGGGCCTCATAAATTCTGATCATGGCTGGAAAAGTAATTCTCTTTGTGCTACCTTAGCTCATATGCTTTGGAGCACCCCCATGTCAAGAATTTCTGGTATGAGGTAGATGAAAGTACCAATTAGATATTCTTTGCTAAATTGGAGATCTCCCCCTTAAGTTTCAATCATGGATATATTCCTGATAACAAGGCAGTGTGCAGCATTGGTTGCTAAAAAAGTTATCCTCCAAAAACGGAAAAGTCTGTCCTCACCAAATATTGATGCCTGGCTCAGTGATATAGCTGACCCGGCAGCTAACAAACAATTGCCATTCCACAGAAAGGGAACGCCTGACAAACTCAGAGCAATTTGGTCTGTGCTTAATATAGACCCTGAAACTAGATATGTAGCTTTCCCTCTTCTCCTTTTTCACTTTGTTTTACCCTCTTTATTAACTTTGTGTATTATGATGGGTCCAGTATTTTTGTATATTTGATGTATTTAGAAACATTAACATTATAAATTAAAAAAGAAAATAAAGTGTAAGCACTTTATACATGAAAGCAGCAGTTAAAAATGTAAATGTACAATAATTTATGCTTTCTTCCAATCACATTACTGTTAAGCTTACTTCCATGGTTGTCTATAAAGGAGAGAGTCAGAAAGTACGGTTTCATGTATTGAAAGTGCAATACGTTTCCATCGATATCTCACATTGCTTAGGCCAGCAGAACTCTGAACATGGACTAAATGTGTGAACAGGAGCAGCCCTATATGAGCTGCCGGCAACTAGCGCCCTAGGCGAAACATGCTATCAGCGCCCTCGCCTCCAAAGCCCTCAAGGACCGTTTATCTTGGCACCCTAGGCGACCACCTAGTTTGCCTGTATTGACGGGCCGTCACTGTGTGTGAAACATCAGTGAACCTAGTGAGACTCCCACTGTAATCTTTCTAATATGATACTTACTTCCACTGTAGAATAATGTGTTAAAGTACTTAGTCAATAAAGAAATGAGGAATAAAAAACTGGATGCCTCTTTGTATTTGTAGAACTAATGGTGTAATAGCCTGGGGTGCTGATAGATATGAAGAAAACCTGTGACCCTTATCTGTTTTTAAAGCTTTGTGGATTTCTGAAAAAACTTCCTTGCTATTTCCAAGGCCAAAAAACATGGAGATTATGATTTGCAACTTCATTACATTAAAATGTTCATAAGTAAAAAGATGTCAGGCACTTGAAGGGGAACAGACTTTGAACTAATACTTTCTTCTTTCCATCTGTAGTTGCAACTATCCATAAATCATCACCATTTGTTTGTTGCAGTACTCAAAGTCCCCAATCAGTACTGTGGCCCCTCTGTGATTTATAAAATACATGCAATTGGGTTCCATCTTGTGTCAAGGAAATGCCGTCCCCAGGTATTCCACAATTCTACCCCGTGTAGAATTGCCACCAGACCCACCTAATGAATTTCCTCCAAGCATTGAAGCTTTGTTTTATTTTTCTAAAGGTATATTTCTTATAATTGTGAAGAAAACGTAGAGAAACATAAACTGAGTGTCAATGGTAGGGTGCTGTAAACCTGAGTATGCATGGAACCTGAATGGCAGCTCTTGTTTGTTTGCCCTGCCACAGTCCTATCAATGGGACTTCAACTTTGAAGCCTGATGAGGGTCATTTGGGGCAAGTCTACATGGGTATGTCTACACTACCCCGCTAGTTCGAACTAGCGGGGTAATGTAGGCATACCGCACTTGCAAATGAAGCCCGGGATTTGAATTTCCTGGGCTTCATTTGCATAAGCAGGGAGCCGCCATTTTTAAAACCCCGCTGGTTCGAACCCCGTGCAGCGCGGCTACACGGGGCTCGAACTAGGTAGTTCGAACTAGGATTCCTATTCCGAACTACTGGTACACCTCATTCCACGGTGTACCGGTAGTTCGGAATAGGAATCCTAGTTCGAACTACCTAGTTCGAGCCCCGTGTAGCCGCGCTGCACGGGGTTCGGCGGCTCCCCGCTTATGCAAATGAAGCCCGGGAAATTCAAATCCCGGGCTTCATTTGCAAGTGCGGTATGCTTACATTACCCTCCTAGTTCGAACTAGGGGGGTAGTGTAGACATACCCCATGAGAGTTATTTCTAAATAAGTTATTTTGAAATACTAACTCTCAAAATAACAATTTTGCAATAGCACTATTGCTCTTTACAAGCAGGAGTTATTGTTTTGAAATAACAAGCCCTTTATTTCAAAATAGCAGGTTTGGTAGTGTGGATGCTCACCTTATTATTTTGAAATAAGGGTAGATATTTTGAAATAACATGCCCTTTACTTTCCACTTTCTTAACTCTGCTGATTATTTTAACAGAAACAGCTAAATAAGGTGCTGTTCCATAATTCCAAATTCATCTCCATGTAAAAAATAAAAATGCAAATCCACTGTCTATTACTTAGCTTCCCAAATCTTCATGGTTCATGCTCAAAGGGCCTTGCAATCTGAAATGCAAGTTTTCAGTCTTGTTGAGCAATGAAATATTTCTGGCTAACTGCAGCAGCCACTATTACAGAAGTACGATACATTCTCAACCTCCATGGCATGAGGAAAGAAACAGCCCCAGAAAAAATAAATGCCAGATAAATTCCAGGCCAAAGTGATCAGAAAATATTTATTGAAAAATATTCTAATATTCTAATGGGAAAACATTTTTACTAAATATTTTGTCTGAAAAAAAGTCTTCCCTTTAGCAAACCCTAATTCCAGAGCTGAAATACAGGCTTGTTGCAAGTGGGGCAATGCTGAGGTATAACTTCAAATTGGGGTATGTAATAAGGACACCTGGAGAGGGACAGCGCAGTGGTTTAGCCATCAGGTTTAAAAGATGACACTTGGTCCCTCTATAGACCTTTTCACCTTTAAAGCTCTGCTCAAATCTTTATTAATTCTCAGAATCCCATAAGTGACTGGTGGGGTCCTATCATCTCCATGTGCATATTAATGATCTCATGATACTTTCTAGAGTGGCTTACTCTGGCCTTCACCCAAATTTTACTCCCCTACAACTATGTGTTTTGTGCACGTTATGCACTGAGCTGCTGCCCTCAACAGCTGCAGGAAACTAATAAGATTGCATTTCTCTCATTGAGGGCCTCATTCAAAGCCCAATAAGACCAACTGAAAGACTCCTTTGATTTCACTGGAGTAGGGATCAGGCCCTGCTTAACTGACTATTGCATCACCTCTGAGACCATGTGAAGGGGGTTTCAAATGGTGCAATTAGTCTTGGGCTTTTGTAAAGTTTTTTTGGTTTTGGTTTTTATTTCTCCCTCTTTTCTTCTGTCATCTTCACCTTCTCTGCTGAGAGCCCCAAATGATGCATTCAGGGCCCTGCTTAGTGCTCCAAATGCACCATTTGGGTCACATTGAGTTTTTTGTTGATGACATCGGTATCTACACTGGATCTTTGTGATGTTGGGAATGCGGTGAGATTCAGTAGGACTTGGGGGGGGGGGGGTGGGTCTAGACTGGCAAAGTTTTTCCAGAAGCAAAAACTTGCCAGCTGTCTACACTGGCCGCTTGAATTTGCACAAGAACATTGACATTCTCATGTAAGAATTCAGTGCTTCTTGCGCAAATACTTTGATGCTCCCGCTCAGGGATAAGCCCTCTTGCGCAAGTATTCTTGCGCAAGAGGGCCAGTGTAGACAGGTAAGAATTTTTTGCTCAAGAAAGCCAGATGGCTAAAATGGCCATCG